TTGGATTACTGCCCATTCCTCAAAGAGTCCTGCTGTGCAAAGTATTATAGAAGGTTGATAAAATATATCAGCACTATTTAAAATACATTTAAATGTAGATATAAATGCCAACTAAATGACCTTTACTTTGTTGACGTCCTATCCTATCTTGCTACCCTTTCGCATGGGCTGTCAATGGAGACTGGAAGTGGCAAACATTGTACTTCCTAATTCCACTTAGAGTATGTCGCCGTTTGGTAACTAGCCCTAAGAAATGCCATAAAGCCATTGCTGGAGTTTAATAGGAAGGGTGCTGCAAAGAGGCAACAGGAGACTACCAGCACTGGGATGCAGCAAAATATGAAAATACTAAAATCAAATATCTTGTGTGTATATATATATATATATCCCATGCAAAAGGGTGGCAAGATAGGATCAGAACTGGGAAACTGGGAATAGCACTGTCACCCTAGAACAGGAAGTGCATGAACAAGGACATTCATGGCAAGATCCCCAGTGAGAATTTTAATAGAAGCTGAAGATTTTAAAATAAATTTATATTTTAAAGTTTACAAAAGATTTAGTGATTGACTTACATATACTTTAAAGATTTTAATAGGGATGCACGGATAATGCTTTTTTGGTATCGAGTACCGAAACCGGCATCTGTGGGCTCAGATTATTAGTAAGCCAGACGGCAGGTCATGCATGACCTGCTGCCCGGCTTTCTGATTGCTAGTGAAGCTGGTGTTCTATCGAAAGAACACCGACTTCACTTCCCTTGTGACACTGTGAGGCAGCATGGCTTCCTGACCAATCAGGAAGCCGGGGCGGCAGATCATAACGTGCCTAAATGGTCCTAAATGGTCAGGAAGCCAGGCTGCCTAGCAATAAGTGAAGTCAACTTCCTAGCCAATCAGGAAGCCGGACGGCACGCCATGTACCCCCCTCCCTGATTGGCTAGGAAGCTGGCTTCATGATGCGAGGCAGCCTGGCGACACGTCATGACTGGTCAGGAAGCCAGGCTGCCTAGCAATTAGGGATGGGCCGAGTGTTCGATTGGAACATCGGCAGTTCGAGCGCTCACCGAACTTTATGGAATGTTCGCGGTTTGTTCGACCACGGACATTCCATAATGCAAAATGCCCAATGAAGCTCTGACTTGTTAAAAGTCTTGCACCTGACCACAGGTCAGGTGCAAGACTTTGCCCAATCAGGGCTCAGCGGAGGAGGGGCCTGAAGGAGAAAGTTCTCTATCAGGTCCCCCATGCTGATTGACAGCAGGTAGTGGGCGGTTCCAATAACCAGCTTGCTATTGCATTTTGCAATATCCAATAGCAGGCTGGCTATGGCTCCCAGACTGCAATGAAGAGGAGGCGGGCGGAGGAGCCGCGGCCGGACCGGATCGTAGACGAAGCCGACGGACCAGGGGACCGGAGGCCGCAACAGCAGTGGGCGGACCAGGGGACCGGAACAGCAGCGGAAAGACCAGGGGTCCTGAGGCCGGAACAGCAGTGGAAAGACCAGGAGACCGGAGGCCGGAACAGCCGCGGAGGTAAGGGGGGGCAGCGAAGGCATGAACGAGTATAGTTCGTACTCGAAAATACTCGGCCGTTTCAATACAAACCGAACATGGGGCTCATCCCTACTAGCAATAAGTGGTCAGCTTGCTAGCCAATCAGAAAGCAAGGCGGCACGCCATGACCCATTGGCTAGGCGGGTCATGACATGCCGCCCAGCTTCTTGATTGGTCAGGAAGCCGGGGTGCCTAGCAACAATTGAAGCCGGCTTCCTAGCCAATCAGGAAGCCAGGTAGGGGATCATATTCCACTGCGCGGCTTCCTCATTGGCTGGGAAACCGGCTCCATGCTCCCTCACGGCACTGCCGGTCAGAGGAAAACTCCCTCTGACTGGAAGTTCCGGTATTGGGGGCAAGTATCGGAGCATTTGAGCAAGTACGATACATGTAGATTTTAATTAATACATAACTGGATGAAATGAGGGTTTTTTAAAGTATATCTAAACCCAAAAACAAACATTTTCTATACTGCAGCTTACCAGTGTGGTGGCTGCATTTGTTTTCATACTCAGGCTAAGAACAGAAAACTCCCGGTTTAGCTTGCCCTATGCCCTATTTCTAATGTCCTTGCAACTTCCTGTCCACTGAACTAATATCAGCTTTCCCAGCTAACATCCGTGAGCTAGAAAACACCTTCTCCCCATGTAATGGAGATGAAGAGGGTGATGAGTCTGTAGTTCAAGTCAGGAGAGCAGCCTAATAATTATTATCATACAGGATTTATATAGCGCCAACCGTTTCTCAGCGCTTTTCAATATAAGGAAGACATTACAGTAACGATAAGCCCCGCTAAATGTGACTATGTCTCCATAGATACAATACAGTGAGTAAGTGTTGTCACCCTAGGACAGACATTTGTGAGTGGCAGGATCACCTGGTGAAAATAGGGGTTAAAAAGAAAACAAGTGCAACCACCACATCTAATGTCTGACAGGCTGCAATATATTACATTTCTGTTTTGGGGTAAAGTTGGAGCTTTATCTGCTTTCTCCTTTTCCCACATCATCAACATGCTAATAAAATATTACATAACCCCCCCCCC